CGCGACAATTTCACCAAAATGTACTTCGTGCGTAAATATCAGCTACCTCTGGATGTGAAACCGATGGACATCTCAAGCACCATCGATAGCAACGTACGCTTTTGACTTAACTGTCCCCGAAAGGAGGAAGTGCATGTCAGTGGTATAATATTGAGGGCAAAAGCGGATTTTTTTGGCATTTTTAGAAGCATATTTTCCAACTGTGACATCAGAAACTCGCTAACAATGAATGCATTCTGTTCTAGAACGATAAAATAACGTGAATTTTCAGGGCCGCTTAACAGTAGAAGCACGAAAACAGCCATCCGTTCAGGGACGTGAACGTATGGTCCCAGTCGAAGGCCCATCGCGCCGTGCTGAATCGTACAATGTGCGAAACGAAGCTACACGAAGTCGTCAGGATTCCGGTAACTCATTGCTATTGTTTTACAGAGTAATTTCTTGCACTGTTCCACAGTGTTTTCTTGAATTTTTTTAGACACCTTTAAGTAGGAATTGAAAATTTTTTCAAGCGTAATGTATGCAACTGCTCCATCAAAAATATTTCCCGTTCTTTGAATTTTTGTAAATATTTCCCGCTGTCCTGAATTTTTTAAAATATTTCTCGTTCTCTCGAATTTTTAGAAATATCCCCCGTCTTTTTGAATTTTTAAAAATATTTCCCGTTATATCGAATTTTTAAAAATATCATCCCAAGTATAGCTTCAGGAGCATATGGAACACGCGCCCAACAGCAACCACTATCAGGGCATCGCTCACACAGTTCGTATTCGTACCATCACAGCCGAACAACCGGTGGCTCACCAAGTGGTCATTACCGTGAGCACGATGTCCCAATTACTCAGACCGGTATGAGTTCACGGGCCACCGGCGAAAGAATCCCTTCCGGTTAGCTCATTTTAGCAGCCTTATAATAACTGCCTGTGGTCAGTTATAGCTTTAACTTTGTCCATTCTCACATCATCTTGGCGATTTTGCGATGCCATAGATACATCGTTTGGTAGTCAGCATGTTTGATAGTCCTGTCGTTTGTTTCGTACATTTTTTCACTGAGTATGTTCTCCGATGAGGTCAAATCGTGAAACGCACCATGCTTTTTTATTTTAAATTTTGAGATTTAGGTTTAGACTAAACCCTGAATATTTGAAAAATTGAATTCAAAGAATTTCAAAAAGGCCACGTGGCTGTTTTGAAACGGAGGGAGGGAAATTAAATTTTTGTCTTGAGATGTCAGTTATGCATTTCTACATACATGCAAATGCAAAAATTGGCCAACGCACGGGCTGCCCGTGCGAAGATGCGTTTTTTGCAGAGTTCC